CCAGTCTGTCCATAGGTGTCACAAGGTCTTTCCCGAGAGTCACCATTCTTTCATGGTAGTCTTGTGGGCTAGCCACGTACAATAGGAATAAACTCACAGGGAGCAAGTACAGCAGGAATCTACCAGTCATCAGTAGAAGTTATCCTCGCCGACAAGTGTTTCGGCCCACGATTTCTCCTTGACACTTTTGGAGGTGGGCCCACCTGAGTTCATGAAGCTCAGGGCTGGTACCCTGCTGCACGAAATTACCGGATGGTGTTTTTCTTTCGGATAGGGACAAGACGACTTAGTGATTTACATTAAAATATACAGTAAGTACAATATACACAATATTCACCAACTAAACATACAGTACCCCTAACCACAATGTTATACCTAGTCTTGCTCACGCCTAGAAGTGGTTGCAGAAACAAACTACAGTCAAATGCTGCGTCCTAATATACATGATATCTGTAATTACAAGCAATCAGAACAATGACACTTAACGCTGCAAAATTCCTCTAAATTCTGACAATTACTGATATTTCAAAGCAGAACTCATTAAATATAATCTCCGTGGTGCTATTGAAAGCATGTATAATCAAGTCATTACATGTTTTACCAGCGGTCTAATCTATAATACTGCCGTATGAATCAGAAAAATGAGAACAGCTAAATCAGTTATTAATAAATAACACGGGAATAAAGTGATTATGAGTTAGGTTGAGTCAAGAATTGACATCACAGCACTCGGGACATTCCCATGCCTGCTTCGTCCTCATCTTCAGCAACCAGCGTAGAGTTCCAATACTGACGGTGCCGGTCACAGTCTGATTTGCTCTGAGTGTAGTGAGCTGGCCAGACTCTCTGGTTACAGGTGCCTCATTCTCTGTAGGCCATAATAATCTTATTTCTCTACTGATTCCATTGCTTGTTCCCAAAGGGCCTTGACCACATCTGCGTTGTCATGTATCAGTTCACCACCCAGTGGTGCGAATCCAGCTAATCTGTCTGCCTGTTTATAACCCAACACGCCGGCATTGCCAGGAGAAAAGATCCAAAGTATGCTACCCGTGACCTTTCCAGTGAAGCTTACCACTCTGCTCGAAGCATCCCTGTCTTCACCTTTTTCAGCATGTTTTCAGAGTCTGTTACAATCACGACCTGTGTGTGTATCTTGTTCTCTGCAGTTACCACCTCCACCTCCATTCAATTGCTAGATGTTGTGGTATGTGCTAGGCTGTCTTGCACTAAAGATCAAAACCCTACACAGGTCAGACTTTTCTCGTTGGTTTTGGGCGCCCCTTTTTTCTCTTTCCCTCTGGTGTCCATGTGAAAGCTGTTTTGGCTCGTATATCAGGATTAATTCTCATAACGTGGATAAGCCATTTCCATCTTCTCTTGGTTAGCATACTCTCTAGCGTTTCTTGTTTTGTGACTTAAAGTAGTTTGGTGTTTGAGATTGTATCTGGCCAGAAAATTTTGATAATTCTACGTAGACATGTGTCTACTACCCAATAGTTTTTGAGGACTGACCCAACCTTACCACATATATTCTAAGGTAGCTTAGTGGTTTCTGTAGCCATGCAAAAACGTTTCTTTGTTTCTGTTTTTTTTTTTAATTTTTTTTTTTATTTTTTATTTTTACTATTATATTTATATTTCATATTTATTCAAATGTATTTTTGTGTGCTTTGAAATACATCACATTATAAATCATTTTACGCATTTAAACAAAGCCTTATTTTATGCGGCACCCAACTCTTTTGGAAATTATAAGGGCCAGGAGCTCCCGCCCTCGTTTTTTTTTTTTTTATGTCAGAGCGCCTAGCTAGCTATGTGTTGTGGGGTTTATTGTCTCAGATAGATTACATTTTATTGTAATGTCCTCGATTACAGGCCAGAGAGATAATGAGAACAATGTAATATGTGCTACAATTACTCTTACTTTATGTGATTGTTGCGATAAAACAACTTAATATCGGCTGCTGCCACTAATGTACTACTTAACCTTTGATCCTTGACCCAGGGCATCTGCAAATGTGTGATTATAGCCACTGTAAAATAATACTTATCTTTGATAGAAACAGGCATGTGGTTGGGGAAAATTATGGGATAATTGTTGGGCGGTTAATGCATGAGAATTAGGTGTTTGGTGGCATGCGGCCAAGAAATGAAAGACTTAAAGCTAACCAGGGAAAATGATTTGCAGAAATACAGACGTGGCCTTTAAATGGAGCCATAGTCGGTAACTTGAGAAGGGCAGAAATGCCAATCAAAGGTAAGCCGGAATCGGTGATCTGGAGAAAGGTAGACATGGCATTCAAAGGAAAGTCTGGGTCCGTAAACTGGAGAAAGGCAGACATGGCAATTAAAGAGAGCGAGAATCAGTGAACTGAAGAAAGGCAGACATGGCGATCAAAGGAAAGAAAATCACTGAACTGGAGAAATACAGACATGGCAATCAAAGGGAAGCCAGAATCAGTGAACTGGAGAAAGGCAGACATGGCGATCAAAGGGAAGCCAGAATCAGTGATCTGGAGAAAGGCAGACATGGCGATCAAAGGAAAGCCAAAATCACTGAACTGGAGAAAGACAGACATGGCAATCAAAGGGAAGCCAGAATCAGTGAACTGGAGAAAGGCAGACATGGCAATCAAAGGGAAGCCATAATCAGTGAACTGGAGAAAGGCAGACATAGCGATCAAAGGGAAGCCAGAATAAGTGAACTGGAGAAAGACAGACATGGCAATCAAAGGGAAGCCAGAATCAGTGAACTGGAGAAAGGCAGACATAGCGATCAAAGGGAAGCCAGAATAAGTGAACTGAAGAAAGGCAGTCATGGCAATCAAAGGGAAGCCAGAATCAGTACAAGTAAGTAAAGGACCCTTTCCACGCCCTAGGGCGCTTTAGGTATATAGCCTAGACCTATATTATATAGACCAATCGGCGATCAGTGGTTGATGTTGCCAACTTTCCAGGACTTTTACCTGGTGCCCACTCACGGCTGGGTCTACAAGCGAGTGAAGGTCGTTATTGAAGCAACAAAAATCCGTCACAGTTTGGATTCGAGCGTTTGACCACGACGGGCTCCAGCTGACGGGCCGTGCTGCTGACGTCACCAGATCGGGCTAACGATGCGCTAAAGCTGCGGTTCTCGAACTGGTTGTCGAGGCACCCTGGGGTGCCATGAGCGTTTGCCAGTGGTACCGCGGCAATAATCAAGAAATCTCGGCTAAAAATTGTGAAATTATTAAAGAAGGCATATGAATACCTACAAGTTAGAATTTAAGTAGTCTTCCCTCGCCATGGTCGGACATACTTTATTTCTTGTTGGAGAACCGCCGCGTAAACGCATCGCTTGCCCGACCCGGTGACGTCAGCAGCACGGCCCGTCAGCTGGAGCCGGTCATGGTTTAACCTTCCGATCCGCAGGCGGGTGTCTATCCCCTATCTAATGTTAGTTCCTGGTGTTAGATGAGGCGCACAATAATAAAGCATACTAATAAACTAATTTTTTTATTTTTTTTTATTTTTTTAAATTTTGAAAATCTTGTATTTAAAAGGCAAGTTATTATCAGTGAACTAAAAAGAGAAGAAAAAAATACCCCTATAGTTTAATCGATTATCACACACAAAAAGTCAATGATGTAGAAATTGAAAATACCCCAAACTGAATATTTAGGCTCCCTAATAAACAGCAATGGAGGCTGTTAAACAGAAGTCAAAAGGAGGTTGCCCATAGCGATACAAATATTTAACATTGGGAGTCTGTGATTAGGTAACACAAAGGAAATCAAAGTCACAATTTTGAGAGCAGGCATATACCCTAGAGTTAGTTGCGGATTATCTAGCAGTCATTAGGAAAAAAATACTACTAATATTCTCAGAATACAATAGGCAGAGAAGAAAGGAACTAAGGATATTCTTAAAGATCTGAACATCAATGAAGATTGGTTAGTAAACAAAATCTGGTCTCGGAAACGGAAATATGTTGACTATATCAAGCACCACTTTTAATAATAAGCGTTTGAAATGAAAACCTTAGAAAGAGCGACTTTCAGGCGTCTCCTGACGGCAGCGATATTCTGTGAAAGACCTGCTCAATATTGATAATGACTAATTGTTGATTTTAATAATGACAAATGAGTGGGGAAAAAAAAGGGGGGGGGGGGGGGAGTTATTAATCATATTCTTCTTCCTCTACGTTCATCCGAAAATGTAATTTCATTTTGTCCGTTTACAACATGGCTTCGATATTTGCGCCTTTCAGCCGACACATCCAACTTCTGCGGGCATTTGTTGACAGGGTTAGCCTTCCTGGTGTTGTTATGGATATTATTATAATTATTTTACTACTACTACCCACAGAAGACTAGATAACCTACCTCTCTCAAGAAATTAAAGATGCTTTCCGAGGGGAAAAAACAACAACTAGTGGCAGCATAAAAGAAGACAAATGGTGCACCACCCTCTCCCCCCCCCCCCCCACAAAAAAAATTATACGTCATCAGATAAAGCGAATACCACTAAGAAAGGATAAAAAGCCCACATACCTCAGAGAACGTTTGATGACAGTTTAACATGGAGAAAACATATCAACAAAGCAGCAACTAAAGCCAGAAGGAAGATAGCCATCCTAAGAAAACTTTGTGGAACAACATGGGGCGCAAATGGGAAAATACATAGGAAAGTTTATCAACAAAGTGTTCGACCATATCTTGAAAACTGCGTGGAGTTCAGCAAAAAAAAAAAAAAACCACACTATAAAAGTTATACAAGTGCAAAATCAAGCGCTTATGCTGTTCTTGTAATCTGGTCATGGTTGCAGATTTACAGTAATCCATTTGGTTCTTGCTAACGTCTCACTTCTCACTTTAACTATATCAGGTGCATAGCACGTCCGTCCGCCTCGTTAGCTTTACCTGCAGGCCTATCAGCTTGCTCTTTTCCTTTCAGGCATTATGAGACAAGTATAAGCCACTGCAACCAATAAACACGATTACTCTACACAAACATATTTACTCAAATCCAGAATGGATAGAGTCCACCCCTAGGACAATGATGCGAGCTTCGCTAAAGCCCAAAACATTTATCAGCGTACACGGATAGCGCTTTCCCCCAACCTCGGCATCCTCGAGGTTACCATAGTTGACCTGCTTAGCATCTCCATGAGGATGGGATACGACAATGTCCAGCCGAGGCTTCTGTTTCGCACTGTTGCCTCTAGTCTGTGGTGGGTCATTCTTTGATCTAGCATCCTCATTTCTTTTCAGTGAAATGATGTAATGACTTTGTTTCTGCTTCGTGTTTGTCAATCTATAGACAAGTTGCAGGTTATGCGTATAGTACATAAGCCTGCGAGTTTGTTTCATGTTGTAGCCTTTATCAAACATTTCATTGAGTGTCACCTGGTCTGTGTACACACTGGGCGCCTCACTGACATCTAGGAACAGATGATGTGTGTACTCTTGGATCTTTGGGTCATCGTAGACAACGTGAGTAAATGTCTTTACAGACACGTAAGCAAAACTTGTTGCTGGTGTCAACGAGTGCTCACACTCTTTACACCTGCAAGACTCATTCGGGTACACCTGTGTATCAGCAATCCACCCAGCTCCTACCTTCATCAGCTCACTTCCAATGTTACTGAGGTTTGGGATGTCAGTTCCTTGGACAGCCTCGGGTCCCCTGTCACTGACAAACTGGACGGTCACACGGACAGTTAAATCCGCGATAAGTGTAACTAACTTGATTACGTCACTATTTGGGAAGAAAGGCGGGAGATGATCCATACTGAACTTCTCAACAGGAATGAAATTCTCGTGTCCTGAATTTTTCTTAGAGGCGGCGTAATGCTGGTTCAGATCTTGCTCTTCAACAAGACAGGAGTTATCTGCCCATGGACCTGAGGAGAGAAACAGGAATCAATATCAACAGCAATTAAAAGAAAAACAATTCGGTAAAATTCGTGATATTTTGTACATAATACGGAGAGTTTAAGTGGTGTAGTGGCTAGACGCTCGCCTGCAGATCGGAAGGTAGTGGGTTCAGAACCGGACGGAACATGACTTTTTTTTTTTAATGACTTGTCGATCCAGCCTTAAATGGGTATCAGGTACAGTCCTGGGAAGTAAAGGCGGTCAGTGTGATGGTTACCACATTACCCACCAACTGATTTGGTCTATAGAATTTAGGTCTAGCCCTATATGTATAATACTCCTGAAAGCGTGGAAAGGGGTACTTTTCCATTTATTGTGTGTTTTTTTTCTTTATATTTTTAACATATTTACTGGCCCCTTCGCGGGGGGGGGGGGGGGGTGGGGTTAACAGGAACAAGCATGACGCAAAAGTAAGCTAAGTAGGGTTCCTCCTTAAATAAACCATATCTCTAAAAATGAATGTGCATGCACAAGTAACGTTATGGAACAAGCCTCGAGTCCAGAAGTGGACAAACAACCAGAACGTCCGCCGGCGTTTACAGCCAGTGAAAGTTAACAAGAAGCAGGAGAAGGCAACCTGAGCTGCCTCGTCTGCAGTTGTGTCGTCACACATAATCCCCTAGCAGTATGGGACGCAATAATTGTGTTCTCTAAGCCCCACCCTGGCTGTTGTCAGGGGGCCTAATATAACCTAACGGTTGAACGGGGTTTCTGGGACCTGTACTCGACTGATTCTCATCCGTATAGTGGCAGTTTGTGTCTGGATGTTTATCGATCGTTGTTCGGTCCTGGTGTGGTTAAACGTTCGTCGGTTCTGCAGCTGTAAAAATTTGTTAAAAATAGAGTTTGCAGAAAAAGATCAGTCAATTTATTTTAAATGTATTTACTAATTTAAGGGCGGTATAGTACACAGACAGACAGACAGACAGACAGACAGACAGACAGACAGACAGACAGACAGACAGACAGACAGACAGACAGACAGACAGACAGACAGACAGACAGACAGACAGACAGAACGAACGAACGAACGAACGAACAAACTTTATTTTCAAACTGTTACAAATTGGGCACGCAGGCCTGTCTGACATTCGACCCTTTTAAGCACTCATTTTTTTTTTTCAGAGTACTAATGCCTGTTATCAATAATGCATGTTTTGGGTATAATAATAAAATATAAATTACAGAATAATGCATACACACATCATGTGTACACAATCGTACACACTCATACACACACACGTATACATACTCCGACGTTCTCATTCATGCACTCATATACAGACATACGTAATACATACACACATGCATCCACATACATACACATACAAAAAACACATACACATACATAGACATAAATGCGCAAACATAAAACACACACACATACATTTATGGATGTACATGCACATACATATTCCATACATACTCACCTATACATGCATCCATGCATACACATATACATACATAGACATAAATGCGCAAACATAAAACACACACACATACATTTATGGATGTACATGCACATACATATTCCATACATACTCACCTATACATGCATCCATGCATACACATATACAAT